TCGTAAAGATTTACATAGGTTTTATTAAAATACTAGCCATAGGAGTTATTTATTATATCGGCGGTCGTTTACGTATACGGAAAGATCGAGTTACCCGTCTTCGTAACTAGCCCGTCCTAACCAACTAGTTAGAAGTAAGGTCTTTCCTAGGAGCCGTAGGTCCTTACCGTAAATAAATAAAGAACTACTTAAAGATCTATCGCCTTTTAATACGTTTACTTAGTAAAGATATTAAATGGAAATAAAATACGGCTAAATCCTTATCCTTTAAACTAGCTAGATTATTAATATTAGCCGTAGTTAATATTTATAGCTACGCTTTTAATCTATCCGTATCCCTATATACTAACGCCTCTTAATTTATAGCGGGCTACGTTATCCTTTAAAGGTAAAACGGAATTAACGTCCCTATCTTATACGATAGCTTTATATTTTCGAAGCCTTAACGTAATTACGGTACCTATAAGAGAAAGCTCTACGTAATAGTTAAATTCTATCGTCGTTATAGCTATATATTTCGGGCTAGAGATAGGTCTATCCTTTTTACTAATTATAAATCCTTAACCTAGTTCCTATCCTTATTAGCCGTTAAAGGGATTTACGTTCGATAGGCCTCCGAACTTAAATTACTCTATATATAGATTAAATATATCCTAGGAATACGGAATAAGGCTACGGACGTACTCTCGCGTACCATATTCCCCGGAGACGCCTACGAAGACGTCGAATACCTAAAGGCCTTAGGTAACTAAGATTAGGATAACGGACTATAGGTTTAGAAGGATAGCGTAGGTAAATATAAGCAGTTATTAGCTTAATTACCTAATTTAAATCTACTATTAGAATCCCGAGGGCGGGATCTTTTGCCCCCTCCTATTAAGGCAGCCGTAAACGCAATTATAGCTTTAGTTTCGTTATCGTCGTTACCTACGGTTATAGAAGGACCTAAGTACGTCCTTAAACTATATCCAGAACGCGAGTACGTCCTTAAACTACGAATAATAGGACCCGAGTACGTCCCTAAACTACGAATAACCGAACCTAGGTATATCTATAAACTATAACTAATTAACGATTACTTACCCTCGCCTTCTAAAGCCTAAACTCCTAAGGCCTCCTCGGACGTTAGCTTTTAGCTATTACTAGCCTCGTTAAAGCTTGCTACTAAAGCCTTAAAGCTTTTCGTAAGAGGATCGTTCTCCGAATAAGATAGATAGTGTAGTGGTGCGGTGGATCTAGGCCACGTAGCCTTTTCGATGTGTATTTATATGGGTCGCGTACTCATATTTTCATCAGCCAGACTTAGACCTATAGACATTAGGACCTACAGCCATTCACTCCTTTTGCCATGCCTTTCTAGCCATCCTCTTTCTTGCCCTTTTCTAGCCCCCTTTCCTAGCTGCCGTTTTCAGCTGGCCGATCAACCGATTACAGCTGTTTACAGCTGTGATCTTAGTTAATCGGCACTGGGCCAGTTGTTGGCAGTTGGATAGCCCTTGTTTCGTGCCTCCGTCAGCGTGCCCACGCTGCTCCTGTTCAGTGGCGACCACCCAGTAGCCCGAGCCGCAACCTCATCTTAGGAGTGACCTTTTGCGACCGTTTTTGCAGTCAATAGGTTCAGGATACGACGATCAGGAGATTCCCTGTTTTTCAGTTGATTAGGAGCTGTTTTCGTAGCTCCAGAGCCGTTTTTTTTCGTGGCTTTCGGATTGAGCCTTTTCAGGTGGCTGGATCAACAGGAAGGGCAGACAACCATGGCGACCATCAACAACCACGCCCTCCCATCAGCTTTTGATCAGCTTACCTAAAAGCTCGTTCGCCGATTAGTGGATCTATCCTATCCTCGTTTCTTAATTATCTCTTTTGAAGGAGCTATGCCCGTTTTTATCTGGTTTTGCCTCCGTTTTTAATAGTACCTAGATAGCCGTTTTTCTTAGTTGATCTGACTCCGTTACCGCTACTATCCCTTTTTACAACCTCGTACGCGCTTGAAGGTATCCGTTCTTTACCGATTAGTTTATTTTAATTACAAGAGGCTTGCCGATAGCTCCGATCGCCCTTGTTTTATCCCTTCCAGCTAGTTACGGTACCTGGGGAGGTTTCTCCTCCCTAACCGATAGGTGCCACGATGCCCTTAATTACCAATAAGATACCGACACACCTTATACCCACGAACCTAATCGGGACCTACCGATTAGCGCGATAGACCTACAAACGATACCGCGATATACGAATTAAATAGATATTAAATAAGAAAGCCCAGAAATAGTCATAAGATAGGAAACAGTTATAGGTTAATGCCCGGAGACCCCTCTTGTCGCCCTTACCGATATGTAGTTAGTAGGAAGAGCCTAGAGAGCCCCTAGAACCACGTACAGGGGAGGGATCGAGGGTCAAGGGAAGCCCGGTAGATGCTACCGGACGAATATAGGAACGGTTATACGAATAATAGCCAGATACGAGTCAGAAACGGAAATAGTCGGGCATGAATAGGATATATTAGTTAGTTTATAGGATTAGGATTAGTTGAAAGGATCGGCAAAAGACAGCCATGGACGAGAAGGACGGGATTACGTTACATCGTATGGGATTGTTTCTTTGTTTTCTCACGGGAGCTACGCTTGTTTTACCTGCCCGTTGTAGTTCCTGTTTTCCTAACTGTTGATCCCTATTGTTTCTTGATGGCCCTGATGGAGCTAGCTCGCTCTTAGTTAATTAGGGTTAATTAGGAATAGGTTGATTAGGTTAGTTTATAGGTTATAGCTCCGCTAGCCTAGTTGTTATCGGACCTTTCCTGATCTTTCCTGTTGTTTCCTGTTGATCGTTGATTGAACTGGCTTAGCTCCTAGTTGGCAGCGATTGAATAGGTTCGGGATTGATCAGGTTTAGGATTAGGTATAGTTAGGTACGGTTGCAGTTAGTCACCTACCCTACCACCTATTTGTTGCTGTTGTAATCGTTCCTAGTTGACCTACCTAACTTATCCTGTTGGCCTTTGATGGAACTGGCTAGCTTTTAGTTGATTAGGGTTGATCGGGATTAGGTTGATTAGGTTTAATAGGAACGAGAGCTACCGTACCTGTTGTTATTGGGGAGTTTAATTGCTCCTTACGGATTAATTGAACTGGGGAGGCTGTAGTGGTGCGGTGGATCTAGGCTACGTAGCCTTTTCGATGTGTATTTATATGGGTCGCGTACTCATATTTTCATTAGCTAGACTTAGACCTGTAGATATTAGGACCTACAGCCATTTACTCCTTTTACTATGCCTTTCTAGCCATCCTCTTTCTTGCCCTTTTCTAGTCCCTTTTCCTAGCTGCCGTTTTTAGCTAGCCGATCAACCGATTATAGCTATTTACAGCTGTGATCTTAGTTGATCGGCACTGGGCCAGTTGTTGGCAGTTGGATAGCCCTTGTTTCGTGCCTCCGTCAGCGTGCCCACGCTGCTCCTGTTCAATAGCTAAATTCTAAATAATACGGAGATATAATTAACCTCTTAGTTACTAGGAGAATTAAATTAAATACCTATAATCGGCTTAAGGTACGATCCCTACTTAATAAAGCTAAGGAATATAGGATCTAGGGAACGTAGTTATAGCATTACTATCATAGGATATAGAATAAGTACCTACTACTAAACGAAGTCCTAAATGCCCTCGTTAAAGCTTACGACGAAGCTAGGCATTTTTCTAAGGTAATTATACTAAAACGATTCTCCCGGTTAGTCTTCTAGCTAAAGATAGCTAGTAACGTATCCGCTTATATAAATAAATGCCTTCCTTACGCGTATTATAAACCGATTAAACTATTAGGTTCCCTTTTCCCTATAACGGTTTATATCCCGTTATAGATCTTATTATCTAACTTTATTAGCCCCTTTTTATTATTATTAAGGCATAGGTATATCCTAGTAATTATCTACTAATTTAATAGATACGGCTAGGCATTACCTACCCCTAGTACTTCAGTAAATAACGCATTTATAGGCTTTAATATATGGCTTACTAACCTAGGAACGAGACCTTTAGTCTTTTACTTAAATCCGGGATCCGCTTTTACCTCGTAAAAAATAGTTTAATATTTAACGTCTAAAGGAATACTAGTCGTTAACGTCCCTTTAGGCTCTTACCGATTAGTTAGGTTAGTTAAGGTATTTAATAAGATCCTTTAGTAGGTCTTAAAGAAGATAGTAAACCCCCTGCCTTAAATCTAAAAGCCATTAGATTAGGCTAGCTCCGTATCCGAAATAATAATAAAAATTAACGCGCGTTACGTTAAATCCCTGGGATATTTACCATTCGAAATACTATATAGGAATCTACTTATTAGTACCTTTAAAGCCGAATACCCGCTAACTTACTTAACGGAACTAAGAACCATATTAACCAGCGGTTCTTTTAAGCTCCCTAACGAACGGATATACGCCGATCTAATCGTAAGCCATATAACCCGGATATAATACTATAGGGAGAACGTTTAGAAGCTATCCGAACGGACTAGGAAGAAGAGAGAAAAAGCTCTCAAGGAAGTAAGAAAGACTATCGAAAGAGGAGATCTCGTTATGCTTTATTAAAATAAAAAACCACCCAAGCTACGCGAAAAGTAAACCGGTCCTTATATCGTAGGAGCATTAATCGGACGATCGGTATTTTAGTTATTATTATTAAACGGTAAGTTATTAGAACCTTATTATTACTATACGAATTAATTAAAACTATTTAAACCCCGAGAGGATTATTTAAGGTTACTAAAGGACCTTTAATTACCGTACTAGAGAAGGTTAAGAAGGACGAGAAGATAAGCTATTACTAGAACTTATTTTTACTATTCTTTACTATAATCTTTTGGAGGCCCTTAAGATATAACCGAGGGCGGTTACCTTTACCCCCTCCTACTAGTTAAGTAGGAGCCCTCCTTATTAGGTAATACGTATTATGTAAGCAGTCCTTAAGAGTCAAAGTGTGTTTCTCAGCAAGGATGCTCTAGATAGGGGGTTTTAGGAATCAAGCACGTTTTACACTCCATCTAGCTCGCTGTAGGTAGGTAAATGCTAGGTATTACGCTGGTCTGCTGAAGACTCGCTCTGTCGTTCCGTATTAATATAGGGGCAACCAAGCTTCATTCAATTGTGCCTTTTCCACAAATATTTGTCTAGTCTATTATTCGGCGGACCGTTACTACCACTTCTCATTCTAATTGTAATGCATTTCCTATGCTGGGTCTTCAGTCGGCTGGGCTGGTAATTAGTGTACTTGTCGCGGCCTACGCGCTCGCCTCGTCAACATCCCTTATTAAATTGCGCTTCAGCTGCTCGATGCCTTCTGCCGAGAGTAGCTTTAGGTCGATGACACACCGTTCGACGGACCCGTAGATGCGGCGTATCATCTTCAAAGTACCCAACATCGATTCTTTCCTAGCGTTCAGTTAGCCTGCTAGAACTCCCATCTACCTACCCGATTAACAGAAAAGACAGGGGGGAGAAGGAAACAGGGTATTACTTACTGAGCCTCGACCATCCGTTTTGCGCCTTCGGGGTTGTTAGCGAACAGCTCCTCCGTCATAAGGCTCCGGATGATGGTGTCGCGCAGATCGCGAATTCCCAGCTCGGTGAGGTGGTACTCGTCCGCCACCGCGTCATCGTCGACGCCGCACAGCGCCAGGATCAGCGCGCAGATGACGCCGGTGCGATCCTTGCCTGCCGAGCAGTGGATGAGTAGCGGCGTCGGCGCCGCGGACGCGAGGTGGGAGAGGATCTTGGCGAACGGTTGGCTCTCGTTTGAAGCCGACGAGGCGGCGTCGAGGATATCGAGGTACGCTCTCGCGAATCCCTGTGCGCGAATATGCGGGTTAGCTGGCTGCACACATCATCTACCGAATGGCAGAGTCGCGATCCACGACTGGGCCTAAGTAGACCTTTTACTTACCTCTGGGCCGCTACTGAAATTCGTGTTGCGCCGGACGGTGGCTTCTTGCGAGTAATCTTGGTCGCGGAAGACCGGCACGGATACCCTCTCGATGCCCTCCCAGTCCGCCTCCGAGGGCGAATAGCCACGCAAGGCCGCAGATTCGTGCCGCGAACGGAGGTCGTACACGCGTTTGATGCCGAATCCTACCAGCGCCGCCACTCCCTCGTCTGTGGCTCTAGACGGGTCGGCGCTGCGATAGATCAGTCCGCACCGCACCGCCTTGCCGGGCTGGGTGGAGATGGGACAGCCGCCAACTTCGCGGAAGTTGATCACGCCGGGAACGGAAATGAAAGGGGACGAGGCCATTGGGTCAGTAAGCTTGGAATTTAAATATAATGCCTTTCTGGGTTCTGATTGCCACTGCCAACTTGTCGTCGGGATGATATTATTTATCTATTTATATTAACACCTACGCACGAGGATCCGTAATACGGCCAGGGAAGAGGCTTGCATTGTTTTTATTACCGTTTTGCTCTTCCAATAAAGCAAATGGATCAATCATATCCTTGTAACAGGAGCATCAGCAATTGGTCAAGACAATCAATTCTCTCTTCACTCTTGTACAGTTATTCAGCCGTTCGTGGAGAGCCACCACCAAAGACCTAGGTAAGAATCAAACTTCCAGACACAAAGGACGCCAAGCCAGCCTTGCTTCTTCTGCAGATTATGCCCCCCTGGCACCTGTAAGGGGTTGTCTTGGGTTCAGCATGAACTTCTCATATCATTTGACTATGAAGTGAGTCCAATGCACACTGCTCATGGCATGTCCACAGCGAGCCCTCATAGGAGCAAGGCCTCACTACCAACTAACTGAACGGCCCAGTCTATCTTTGCATCAATATGATATGTTATTGCATGCTGGTTGCTGTTGATCTCCGGCTCCCACACCTAGTTTTCTAGCGCCACTCCCTTTCTATGCCCAGTCAAAATATACCTACAGCGAAGCTGTCGTTTTCCAGTCAATGCCTAACCTATTTCCGAACCAATCTGTGGCTGGTCTCCCATCGTGAAAGCTGATTCAGTGTCAACCCTTTACTATATTATTGGTGTTCCTGCCTGCTTTCTAGTCTCTCAGATTGAATTAATATATCCTTGGCCCTATTACTTCGGCATATAACTAATGCACGCAATATTTTAGGGACTCGCGCTAGATTAATGTTCTGTCTGACTTTTGTTGGCTTGTTGCCTGAAAAACGTAGACGCTTACATCTCCCTGGCAAACTGTGCTGACCTCCAAGGCAGGATTTGATAATTACATGGCAGGATTCCATATGTTAATCCTTAATGTCTGTAATAATTTTACCCCCAAAACCCACCCTAGGTATGCAGGGTCCGGTTTATGTTAGGTGTTGCTGAATGGTGTGGCAATAACAGCACCCCACAGTATGGATGGAGGTGGTGATTCAGGAGAAGAGAGATAAGGAGATGCTCAAAGCAACCCAGGTTGAGTAATTCAAAAACAAGACGGGCGCTCTTGTTGATTGTAAGATTGTCATAGCCTTCTAACTTAGGGTCCGTGGTTGACCGTTATCCTATAGTCCCCTGATCAGGCCCCCATATAATAGGGACAAGTCTCTATCCTCGTCTGTTTCTGGAAGGTTCCGTCTTCCAGGAGCCGGTAGCTGGATGTCTGCCCTCCAGGCGAAACAACCATAACCATTTCTGCTGATTAGTTATCCAGATGAAATTGTTATGGTTGTTTTGTCCAGGGGGCAGAGGCCCAGAGTGTGGGCAAGACGCTCTGTTGATGTGGCGTTGGCCTAGGTGGGTTTAGATTATTGTCTTCTTGCTCTGCTGCGTGACGCCTTTTGCAAGAAAGGCAAAGTTGTGGCCACTCTTAGTCTGTCCATGTTGTATCTCACCAGACCAGCAGGTATGGAAAGTAGGGTCGCTATAGTTCGATATAGCAGGCCTAATCAAGTTCAAATATTGTATTGTAATTAGCATAACCTACAACGACGACAGCATGGAAAACAGCCAAACGACTTACTTTATTCTGATAGCTTAAAAAAGTCCAGAGCTACTTAAGGGGAGTTATAAAAGGATAGAAGTTAGGAAGGTAAAGGCACACTACGTCTCTCTAAAATCCAAGGTTGGAAAGCTTCTATAACATGGCTCTCCTGTCATGGGTTAGTATCCCAGCGATGCACTTGCGAGAGAACTAGGCTACTGGATTAGAAATATGAACCAAACTCTTTTTTCCTATAACAACGACCTAACTATTACATTAGTCGGTAGCCTCCTCTCAATCCGTTATCCCCTTGTCTGCCGGCCCTCTTCTTGAGTGTGTGTTGTAATGTATACAGTTATTTCTAAGAACCAAATACATAGTCTCATGGTCATCCTCCTCTTCTTCGTTGTTCTCCTTTTTGTCGTCCTCCTTTTCTCTGCCGTCGTCGTCGTCATCGTTCACGTCGTCGTTGCCTTCAGTTGAGGGCTTGAGAAAATACTTAATTCAGCCTTAGAAATGGTCGGGTAATATACGGCGTAGAATAATCTTAACTGGGGACTAAATAGTCTTATCAGTTCGACTCGAATTTACAGGCGACTTGCTTAGGTGGAATTCTTAAGTCGGCTTAGCAAGTCCTCGGGTGGCATAATCGCCGCAAGGTTTGTAATTAAGAGTATCAATGTAACTTAAGAAGAGTCAGTCCTGAGAAGTTGAAACCTAACGTAAGAAACTCACGATGACAGGAGACTCAGTAGTATGAGGTTCAAATGCCGGGTTGATACCGCCCTTCCCTCTAGCCGCGCTAGGAGATTACAATTAAACGTTGCCTAATCAGCCTTTACCTCTAGGATGGATCCTCGTTAGGATCCCGAGTATGACCCGAAAACAGCCCCCTGCGGGAGCCTAAAAGAAGGAGTTTCTATATATTTAAGGCTGGGGTCCTAAAGCTAGGCGGAATCAGGCCTTACTAACAGTGAAAGATAGAGGCTGGCATATACTACCCAGGCTCCTTCGATAAACCACCCTCCGTTGGGCAAGCAGCGGCCAAGTTCACTGCTGCTGGTGGCGACAGTCTCGTGTCAACCACCTTTTTTAAGACCTCTTCATTCGCCACGAAATGGGGCGGCGTGTGTTAGAGACGGAACCAATCCGTATACGCTACCTAATTATCTTGCTACGAAACAAACCCTCATCGCTACGACCGCACTGCCAATAATATTCGATGCCCACCAGCCATCAGCGTTCGCTTAGGCCCGAAAGACCCAGGGTCATCGACTCGAGGTAATTGAGTTCATAACTCCCCTCCGTAACGGGATGCCAAGTCATTTCATTGGTATACACAAAACCGTTGCCCAGGAAGAGGCCAACCAGTCTTGCGACTTCAACGACGGACATGAACTCGCCAGATGCCGTGCCTGGTCCTATGGCGGAACGAAACTTAGCCCAGAACCGATCCCGGAGTTCCTCGTGGTTGGGATAGTATCGGCGCACGTCGCAGACCAGCCTAGGTAAGTAAGTAGGCGAGTATGGTTATTAGTAGTCGCCATGGTTATCAGCACTCTCCCTATTAATCACGCATAACAGGGGCCCATTTCTAGCCGCCCGGCCAAAGTCGCCATAAACAAAAAATGGAAACAAGCTTACGGGAGTCTTTTCTAGGCCCAAAATGAAAGTAAGTAGCATTCTAAAGAAGACTCGTAATAAACCTTAAATAACTAAATAACGAGGAATAAGGTATCTAAATATACATACAGGGCCTTGGCGAAGCGGACGATAGCTTGGCTTACTCCTTCATAAAGGAGGACAATGGTATAGCAATGACGAGACAGAATAACGAGAGCTACCTTAATTACATCAGCTCAGACTTATAAATATTAAGATCACGACGGAAGAGGAACCGCCGAAATTAGTCAAGGATATCGAGGCACCGTAGTAGGAATAAGAGACTTATGGTCGAACTAGCCCGGATCATCAGCCCTTGCTGGAGACGATTCTCTGGCCAGGACTCGGAAGTACTAACCTCAAACAAAGGGGGCACTGCAGTGCGTAAATCTAGCAACACAGGCATGCCAGGCTTTCGTAGGGATAGAGATAAGGGGACGAGCGAGGGACTAATACGAAGGTTCATCTGGGAAGCATGGAAGAAGCTTCGTAGATCTATCCAAAGCATGAGAATGCCTAGTAGAAAGGGTAAGTGGAGTTAGCGAGGCGAAAGATTTATAAACATAATGGCTTTAGAAGCAAGTTAACATGGCGACGTCTTCCCGAAGCAACTAAAGAACGGTACAAATTTAATGATATATACTACCAGAACAAGGATCCAACTATACGAAAAGAACGCAAGCATATAGATATAACAATAAATCCACCGTCTTATAAGAGCCAGCGTAAACCGTAAGTAACCTAAGGAACAGGAAGGATACAAGTTACCTAGATATGGATCGACCCTCATAAGAATATAGGCCTCGGGACCTACCCAGGGTATTCGCATTACAAGGGGCACATGAGCATCATCTATCGAATCACCGGCACATATGAATGCTTCCTAGAGATAAATAATCGAAGGGAGTTAGTGTTTCATCGCTTACTCATTAAGCTCATGCCTCCTGAGTCCACCTACCCTTGGTCTTACAGGTTCCTCTAGTAGATCAGCAGCTCGACTATACAGAGGATAAAGAGCCATGGAGTTCTAAATCAAAGGCGTTACCAATAAAAACCCGGTAACTCATTAAGAGAAGTCGAATCTCGTAATTCTCTAACGTACATAGCTCGTAGCCCCTCACGTCCTCGTCCACCTTAGGTAGAGTCCTTTCTACTTATCCTCTACGAACCCTTAAACATCCCACTATATAACAACAGTCCGCCTATCTCGACTTTATTCTGCCTTACATAGACAGCACCTGTTCCTCCTCTCTACTCCCCCCCCCTTCTTTGCTCCTTCTCTCCGTCCACTTTCTCTTAGACCCCTCCACGGTTTTCAGTGCCTTCGCTGGTGCACTTTCTACTTTCGTTTCCGATGATTCGTCCTCTCAAAAGCTTCTAGCTTCAATCCATCCTTACTACGTATTTCGTTATTTAATCCGGGCACCGAGAGAAAGATATCCTTACCGCCTCCCGGCAATCGCTAAAACCTGCGAGTCGGGGCAACAAAAGGACACCTCTCTGAGGCAAAAGTCCTTCGGGGGTAGAAAACATCGTACTCTCACCCCATTATCTGAATCGACGGACACGTCGAGACGGAGGGTCGTGGAGAGGCGATAGGACTAAGCAGGTATACCAGAAGAAGCGAATGATACAAGGGAGTTTAAGGAAGTAAGGAAAAGAGGGATAATTTAGGGCGCCTGAATACTATTAGAGCTCATCGAAGGTAGCTTCCTATGAGCAATTGTAAGGTATTACTCCTTTTCCGACATTTTACCCGAATACAAACGTTCCTGTTCTTTAATTTCCTCGTCTACCCATCTCCATAAATAGCCCGTACCTGTCTCCGGTCCCCCCAAATGGGTTGCTTCCCATCTTCAGGGCTACTCGACCGCCGATACGCTCGTTTTCCAATGTGTCCCAATCCGAGTAGGCATTCATCTCCTCGTTAGTCTAGTCTCCTCTGCCCATCAGTGTTGCACAGTGCTTCTTCATCCTCCAGCTTGCCCCTGCCCATCCTCGAACAAGCAGATAGCGAAGAGAAAGCGACGGTAGCCATATGAAGGGATCTCCTGGAGACCTTCTTCACAGCCAGATGGCCAGTCCTGTCAGCGAACACCCACCCGAGACCAGACACAGGCACGTGTAGGTATTCGCCCTCCCGCGCCTCCTTTCGTCCCACCTGCAGTTGGTTCTGGACGAGAACGGTGGAACCGTATTGTGACAGCCACCTACCTACGTGGCACCTGCTTACGGGTCCCCTGCAATAGGAAATATGTGAAACATGGAGTCCCTGTGCCAACCAATTCCCTAGGTACGTGTACGTGTAGGACTCACCGGCGCCAACAGACGTTATACAAACCAATCCTGTACCGTGGTCGTATGGCGGTTTCTTAACCAATGACATGCGAGAGGACGTGGGCTTGTTCTAGATTGTCGAGTCAGCCATTGCTGAGTAAGTACCTCCGACACATCAGTCCCAAGATATTTATTTTCGTTGTCTTCCCCCGCTTGTCGATGCAGGAGATGAACTCGTTGACTCAACCATTCTCTACACGTCCGAAACCTTTCCTCCAACGCACTGTACCGCCATCAAGAAGGCATCCATAACATAAGGTCGGCTCAATCATGCTCGAGAAAGCGAAGACGAAAGGCGCAGATCTAGTTGAATGGGCGACTGCCAACCCTATCAAGGCCACTGCGTGCGCAGCCGGGGTGGTTTGTGTCGCCGCCCCCGGGTTGGTGGCGGCTCCGCTGTTAGGTGTCACCGGTTTCGGGGCGAACGGGATCGTTGCAGGTAGGTATATATTCTAGCTCTCTCCTGGCTAACCCCAAGCCTAGCACACCGTGTCTCCTAATTGTGTAGGCTGACATCTCATCGTGCCAGGCTCCTTCGCCGCCAGTGCCCAGAGCAGCATCGGCAGTGTTGTGGCTCCTTCGCTTTTTGCAACGCTACAAAGCGCCGGCGCGGGTGGATACGGAGTTGCGGCTGTATATCCGGTTGTACAGACTGTTGGCGCGGCCGCTTCGTCGATTGCGGCCCTGGCTTCTTGGAGGAAGCGAAAAGCAGATAAACAAGACGCAGTAGTGGAGTCTGATACTGAGCAAGACACAGCAGTGGAGTCCGATGCTGAGCAAGACACAGCAGTGGAGTCCGATGCTGAGGAGGAGGAGGAAAAAGAAAACCTACGCCACGTAGCTGTTGGCAGGGTGCTACGCTCGGCATCACGTGTACGACGAAAGAGAAAGGTACGGCGCGGGAGAGCTCGACCTCTGTACGGATCCATGAAACAACTAGAGTAGCGAGAGCGACGAAAGGCTATAGGTATAAAGAGCTCTCGGACGCCGAGGTAAGCTATAGGAATCCGAATACGTACGAAGGCGGAGAGAGCCGGCATAAAGGAAGAAAAGGGTAGAAAACCCTCCGTGACAACCTAGAAGATGAGATGTAATTTGGAGAGGAAAGAGTACTCGATATTATTATTGATGTCGGGGTACCTATAGCGACCAGAATCTGATTTCTTATATAACTTTCAATTAACATTAGCCTGCCTCGCGATGTTAGACACTTTATCAAACGGATCGCCAACCTAGCTTCTTGATTATATTTAATTATATGACCAAGGGTTGTATAATACCGGAAACGCAGTCAATTCGCCAAGCTCCTCGAGGCGGTCCTGTCCCTGGGTACCATATCCGGCGGTTATACGATACACCTAGCCGAGCCGGAAGACACGAAGACCGTATTTCGTGACTTGGACGCCTACCGCAAAGAACCCACCAACAGCGCAGGGTGCTTGATAGCACGGGGGGGGGCGCTGCTGGCGGAGTTTGTGCTCGACGCGGTGCCGACAACCTGTGTAGTGGGCGGGTTCACGGTGCCGGGGGGGCCCAACTTCGTGGTGAATACGCAGAAGCCCAACGCGCGCAGCGAGTACCAGGGGATAGCATTACCCTGATACCATCGACGTCGTCCTTAGAGCGCCACATCTGGGGCGGTACGATAACAGCACTCAAGAGACATGGAGCTGTTCCAGTAGTTGCTCGCGATCCGTATCTATTACCCGCCGCCCTCCACCAACGCCCCATCGGGCGATGATTCCTTCCAGGCCGGAGGAGGTCGAGCCCGGACGCGAAGCCGCTCTACAAGTGGACCAAGGGGGCCAAGTTCACGCTGGTCATCAAGCTCCTCGTGATAGCGCACGAAAACGCCTTATTCATGCGACTCGAGCACAGCGACGACCGCCTCAATAACGCCAGGGATACCCCTATACCTAATAAAATGGCTAATCGCAGCGACTCTCGAGACGATTGTCAACGGGCTCCCGTTTACGGCTATAAAGAGAGTCCTCGCATAGGTACAGTACGAGAGGGTTATCCAGCGTGTATGCTGAAGCTTTTGTGATTTTAGGTATATGTTTTCACCTTGGCGTTGACCCTTGTTCCATTTACCCCTATCCTGCCCCTATCCTACCCTGATTACATAATAGAGACGACATCAACTTTCTGTGCTCCTATTTGTCTTCTCCAGCTTCTCCACGACAAAGGGGCGGCTGGTTATTCCATCGCGCATTTTCTTTCATGTATGGGTGTACAGGGTATTAAAAAGGTTGTACCTGGGTGTTGTTAGCTAATGCTCGCTAGAGAACCTCTTACCGGTATCGTAGGCATTTACCTAACCAGAGGATTCCTTTGCTACTTTACAATACCGCCAGGGAGTGGTTAAGTATCACTTTCCCCTCCATGCTTTCACCTTCATTATGCAGAACTCGTTCGCACCATACGTACTTTATCCCCCGAGGGACAGCCTACAAGATGATACGGAAATGATAGATAGACACACAATAACACGCCCCCGGGCCCCAAAATTCGGCTCTCAAAGCTCGCACAACACAAACCTATGTACATAAGCTAATCAGTGCTCTGGATACTCTACATTTGGCACCACACTAGCATAGGAATACTGTCCGGAAGACTTTCGATCGACATGCTTGCGCCAAGGGGTTTACATGCGGATAACGTTGCATTAATCCCGTGGAGTCGACCTGTAGGCCTCTAAAGGTCTCTGTGAGCCTGAAGAACAGCCTCTAACCGACTATAAACTAAACTATAAATAGTTCTCGCTTGCCCCTCTCAAAGAGCCGTGCTGCCTCCGGATACCTACGTTTTCTTATCCTGAAAATTCTGCGAACTCGATATTCCGCCCCTGACTTCGTCGTTTCTCACCGTTCAGCTAATCAAGAACCTTACTATCGACAAACGTCCTCACCCTAGATGACATCTGACAGAACCCCCTTACTGAGCTAGGAGGCTGTCAGCAGCAGACAGTATCAGCATCGATACTTTCATCGTGGAGGAGAGACAGCTTGCAGCAGGTAGTCCCCCGTATTTCGCTTTATAGGAGGCTAAACTCCCAGTGAGACGGCAAAGGACAGATCCGACGTGACGGCGGTCAGCTAGTGGCCAAGATTCTGGCGGTAACACGGCCTTCCATGTCACATACCCGGTCATCGGTTCATTGATAAGAGGCACTTGCGGCTGAAGCGGGCGTTGCCGCCAACTGAGAATCAGAATCAGTTAATAACTGTCCCTCCGGATGTTACGCACCCACCCGAAGAATCGCCGGATCAGGGTATGCGGCATCGTGGCATTCTATCAACGGCGGAGTCGGTAGGTACGGGGCCTACAGTAGCACGCGGAGCTTACCCGTCCCAACACTTTTTATCCTTGTCCCCATAAGCCAATACGGTCCATCCTATGTCCCAGTTTCCCTGCGCACTTACATATACACCTGGGATTATGTAAATAAGCCATATTGTAATATACGCCCTCGTCAGAATAAGCCGTGGGGAGGCCGGACGTAGGTAGGGGGATAATAAGAGAGCGCCGCAGTTTAGTATGCACTTCACCCAACCGAGCAACCCAACCCACTTCCGTACTTGACCACCGCCCATTACAACTACCCGTCACTTGACTGTCTATATAAGCAGAGCTGTATATAAATGTGTCCTTATCACCTAACAAGGTAATTCCGTCTTTCTTGTTGTACATACGAGCAGTGTCGACATCGCGCACTGTATGTACAGAACGGGGGTATGTATGTATCTGGGCGCAGCTATAATATCCGGTGCCTGCCGGAGCTCTAGGCATCAACATTAACAGTGAGCTGTATGGCATGTCCGGATCTCTGTTTTTTACGCTATTGCATTGTGTTGCATTTTATTTTATTTCATTTTTGACCTTCTTTTGGTGTTTTTGTTTTCTTTCTGGGCGTTTTTTTATATTCGTAATTCCCCTATAGTGGGTTTCCAAACTCTCGTCTCACCCCTTTTCGTCTCCGATCCTGTTACCACTCTCTGCCTGACTCCGGTTTCAAGATGTCCAAGACTCCAATTGCCCCCGGCCCTGAGGACATCCCTCCTCTCCCCAAAATCCGTCTTTCCCTTGCCCATCGTGTCGACTGCTTTCTGCGGCTCTGGGCGCTCAAGATCGTAGCATCGATCGTCTTCGCGGTAGACAGGCTCTTCCACCCGCCACCTCCGCCTCTCCGTCCCACTCTCGTGAAGCGCTACCCTTGTCGCCCGGGCCTGCAAACTCGCATCTTCTACCCGCCAAACTACAAGCCCGGGGACTTGCTGCCGCTGTATCTGAATATCCACGGTGGTGGATTTGCGCTCTGCGATCCCCAGCATGATGACGAGTTTTGCGTCATGTGGGCGAAGCGCACCGGCATGCTCATCGCCTCCCTCGACTACTCCAAGGCTCCCCTGTACCCATTCCCCGCGGCCGTCTACGACGTAGCCGCCCTCGCCAATGCCATCCTCGTAGACACCACCCTTCCCATCGACAAGAGCAAAGTTGCGATTGGGGGCTTCAGCGCAGGCGCGAACCTCGCCCTCTGCGCGAGTCAATTGCCCGGTTTGAAAGGCAACTTGAGGGCGGCGTTGACCTTCTACCCCATCGTGGATTGGAGCCACCCTCCCGACGTGAAGTTGAGCATGCGCCCTTACAAGGGGGGCCCGAGAGATTCCCTGGAGGCTTCCAGTTACTGGTTCGACTGGGCCTACGTCTCTCCGGGCCAAAACCGCCGCGACCCTCTGCTTAGTCCCTGCTACGCCAGGAAACAAGATCTCCCTCCCTGGATCTATATCATCGGAGCGGAGTGGGATATGTTGCGCTTAGAGAGCCAGGAGATGATCCATGTGCTTGCGGGACTCGACGGACGGAAGAACAAAGAAGACGATTTTGAGGAGGGGACGTATAAGTGGACGCTGGCGAGAGGATGCTCGCACGGGTTTACTCACCATTTCGGGCGGACAGCAGAGAAGAAGAGGAGAAGAGAGGAGAAGTGCGAGCCTATTTACCAGCAGGCAATTGCGTGGGTGGAGAAGGCGTTGCGAGAATAATGTGATATGTTTACCGTTTGAGCCTCCCATTGGGGAGCATTTAGAAAGGTTGGCGCAGCGAACAGCCCTGGTTGTTACAGGAACCAAAGGTCGAAGCAATGATACATGGAAGCGGCTGTCCATAACTCGTAAGAATTGTGCTTCAAAACTTGTCATGAGAATAATAGAATTTAGAAGAGCACATAGATAGTTACTTAGACTCCTCGCATCAAATATATAGAAGGGAGTCATTAAACTTAACAACTATATTCCATTACAGTTAATATGCTTCGAAGAACTAGAGATTTCAAGAACAGTATAAGCTCATTTGCCTTATGAGCGGCTTAGAAGTTATAGGCCCTAAGAACATCCTGGTCGGCTCGAATCGCGTACTCGGCCATCTCAAACATGTTCAGTCCACTAGCATAATACACATTCCTTACCCTGGGCAGCCTCTCAAACTTATCGTAGTTCATCGTAGGAGCGCACGTAGTGCGCCACTTCGTGTCCTCGACCCCGCTCTACCGTGCGCGGGAGGCGACAGAAGCGGCCAAGAAGGTGATGGGGGAGCACCACCATGCCGAACGAGACACGCCCCTGATGACCGCCTTCTGGGGAAGCCAGCGAGACTGCCAATCCGTCGAGGAGAGCCCGGGTATGGAGGGATCGGGGGTGTGCACGTTCCGGAACCTCCACGAGAGGAGCACAAAGCCGCGCAAACTGGCGGCGGGCGAGACCTTGACCACCTGGGCTGGCAGCATTCCCCCCAGACTCACCGAGAAGATTCTGGGCTTTCCTGTGCATACGTCCTAGACGTTTCAGTGCGATAGTATATATTATTAAAAAGTCATCTCAGATTAGGGGTTTCTGGAGTTTGATCAGTTGCGCCTCGGCACGGGGATTATGTGTGTAAGTGCTCATGAATCCTCCCTAAACCCAACTCTCGGTTGGAAACTAACCGGAATCAACTGTTTAGCATGTCGACGCGTGCACAGGCGGAAGACGCCGTGCATGGAAATATATGCTGTATATTCTGTTGTGTACAACGGGGCCGCGGGTCCGGTATATCGGCCTACGTATCTACGCGGCATTTGTGGAGGTTGCCGTCTACTTGACCCGCAATGCTTGGTGCCCTGCGCGACTGGGGCGCCGTCAAGGCTGCGCCTATCCTTATGACCATCCATGCGGGCATGGCGACCGGGCCGGGAAGCAGAGGTTGGCTGGGTGATCCGGGTGGCGAACCGGCAAGACATAAGACCTGAGAATGTCGCGGATGAAAGCAATAGACGCTTTCTCCGAAGCACCGGGTCTCAGCGTTCGACCCAAAGGCGTATAAGAGAGATCGGCTCTGCGAGAACCTGTCCCGGCTCTGTCTCGTCCTCTTGTTTATCTATTTCCCTCTATCGGGTCTAGAGTACAGCACGGTCTTCTTTCACCTCGTGTACGCACAGGCTATTATACAGTCTATAGTATTACGCCGGAACCTCATGGCGAGGTAGTAAATGCTGTAATATTGTAACGCCAGCTCGAGTCAGGGACGCAGAACTGCGGGCAGGACTTCTCACTTGCGTGGCCAGGGCGTTGAGCGATTGCCTAGAGATAGGTAATGACAACCCTAGGGCAGAGCGAGTGACAATAAGCAAGTGTCGATCCAAGCAGGGAACGACGACCGGGTTCTACCTACTTATCTATTCGACCCTGAGGTTTGCCAGATCACAACACGGGCGACATATGCTCGAAAGACTTCTCTGAATGAGTCACCAGGGTTAAATGTGAGTCTCCCCGAGGCTAGATCGGGGGTTGTAAGCAGAATTACTACGTACAGCAGCCTTCTTCAGCCTGTCAACTCTTCAAGAGTCGCCCCCGTCACTCTTTATTATGCTCGAAGACTCAGCCGTGACGGCTCCGGGCTGTAGCAGAATACCACGATGTGGTTGAGAGACCGGCCGGGAATTCCCATTATACTACTAGAACATCTGCCAGCCCTGCCGTGTGCTCAATTTACGTATCGACGAACGCCATTACGATTTTCTAACACCCACCTCCTTTCAGGCCTTCGTCCCCTCCCCCCTCTGTATTAGGATGCGGTATACGAGGGCCACGTTGGCGTGCCAAGTGTGCAACGAGCGGTGCGACTGACGGGGCAAAGTCACAGCTACTCGTCTTGCTAGCACCCTTAGGCTCCAGTATATACGCCCTACGAAGGGCTTCGAAGCCCTATACACCATATGTAGTCCTCTGTTAAACTAGCCCAATCTATCAAGTCTTGAAATCGGAGCTTATTTTGTAGCTTCTCGGAGACCGGCGAGGGACAGAAAGGCAAGAGGCCACGATCTATTAGAGAGTCATTGCACCTACGCCACCTAGGACTGGACGTGGGCGAAGACGCCCGGGTCCTCAATTCAGCCCGTGGCGCTTGAAACGCAACAGGATGCTGTTATCTCAAGACTGCCGGGCGGACTTATCCGGGGACTCCTCCGGGGCGTGATGCTACTCTCGTTTCGATAACCATGGGCGAGAACAGCGAGTGCGATGCGATCCATCATCTACCTGCTTCACCTGCGTATGTATGGTATGTATATCACGCAGCCCAATCCATCACATGTCTATCTCACGAACCCCCATTGCCCCCACGATCCCGCCAAGGTCACCATACCTCCTCCTCCTCCTCCTCCTCCCTCGATCGCCATGCATGCCTTCTGCCCCTCCGAGCACAGCCAACTGGCCTCTCTGATTGGGCGTTGGCCGCCCCGTTGCAGGGTGGCGGCAGGAATCCCGAAGGAGTCGGGGCCTCGCCAACTGTATGCTTGGTAATTGTCGAGTCAAGCGACGGATTCGAGGAATGGCGGTGGCGCCGGGAGGGGGGGGGGGGACCCCAAAGTCAGTATCCTAGTACAACTACTACAGCGACTGTTATGCGGGTAGCATCTTGGCTGGCTGACTGGCTGAATAATATGACTCTGTTTGCTCTGCTACCTAACTAGCTACCCGTAGCTTGTAGGATGTCAGCGATAGATAGATCGATTGCAGAACGTCTCCAGTCCCGGACCGCTCCCGCCCGAGGCGTAGAGGCTCAAGAGCGAGGGAGAGAACGCGGGGGCGCGTGAGGCTCCATGCATTTCATCGCGGCTTGGAGCTGACTCGCAGGAATGCAGGGTGGCGTGGGTCACGATTCCAGGCGTCTTACGCATCCGGCGTTTGCCAGATCGTGCCGGGCGGCGGGGTCGAATTCACGAAATGCGCGCGCACGGAAAAGCGCAGAAGACGGTGGGCTGAAACGACGAGGCAGACTGTCCTACCTAGCTAGTAACGCATAGGGCTGCTCGTCCCAGCGTGGCCAATCTGGACCCACGACATCGTGATAGCATTACCGGCTGGCGCGTGCGAGTCGAGTACCGCGTCCTAAGCAGTTAAGCGGGATGCTCGCTCGCCTCGATAAGGCATTGACGAGGTACCGTGGCATTGCACGCGCAACGAGGTAATGGGCGATGGAGATCGAAGCACGACAGCATTGCGAGGGGTTGTCTCGAGGGTCCTGGTCGGTCTGCACGGCATGGCTGCGGTGGATATATCGTACCATGAGGGGGGAGATCGTCGGTACAGGAGAGGAGAGAGGCAAGGCAACCCCGCCCTCGGCGCGTCTGCACCTCTCGTCGTGCGAAGACTAGACAGGGCTCAACTTCCTACCGCGGAGTGGGCCGAGATCCTCTTGCTCTTCGCGTTGGTTAAATAGCGCACTCCAAATCTGGTCGGAATTTCAGCTGGGCGGAAGGATGACGAGGTGACTCTAGTAGACTCGTCTTCCGCTGTTAGGCCGACTGCTGTTGTGTGTCTGTCTCTCGTCTGCCTTTCCGCCGATCGCCCACGATCCCATCTTCGCAAGGGGACCTGGTTTCAAGACCTGGCCGTGCCCCTCTTCTCCTGCGCAGCAACAGACGCACGGCAGGTCAGGCGATCAGGCGAGCTAATCCGGGTTGGCTGTGCGAAGGTGAGGCAAAGGGTCTCTCGACGGGCCAATGGGGACGGCTAGTGGGCGGCGTCGTGAGAAATGCCATGTCCCCCCGATCGCATCTGGGTCAAGCCTGCGGAGGGGGTTGTGTGGGCTGCGTGGGTTTTGGACGGAACTGGGAAGAAAATGCGACGCTACGACACCGCATAGTAGCAGAGACAGAGCTCTAAGCCAAGCTCCCTTGTCGCTTTCGCCCCGGGCCAAGCCCTCTGCAGCTTAGCAGCCTGGCAGCTTCTCGTGATACCGCGAAACGGACCGGGGTGTGCGGTGCCGGCTGTTTACAGTGACACGCGCTCGGCCGCGGTTTGGCTTGTTTACTTAGCTCCGTTGCTGGCTCGTCCACGCAACCTGTTAAACCAGTCTCTCCTTGCTGTCTTTTCTTCTCCTCTCCCTCTCTCTGCACACATGAGTACCCATAAGCTAATACGTAGTCTCTCTCTCTCTCTTCCTCTCCTCCCCCCTCCTCGTTTCGTCATCCTTAACTCCGCATCTCGGCGGCTACCCATCCCCACCCACCCTGGTCCTCCTTGTCACACGCAGGCCCGTGCTGCTAGCATCCGAATCACACCACGACGTATTCCCTCACCGCGGGTAGTATCGAGATCACCAACGACGGATCGGATGAAGGGTTCATTGGACAGACCAGATTGCGAGAGGCACTGGTTACTCTGAAATAGCCGCGTAGCCTTTTCGAATATTTTTTTTTTTCGTTCTCCCTCGCTTGGTTCTTTGACAAATCGATAGTCGCTCCACCGTGTCGCACAGGTAGGACCTCGTTGCCCGGGGATTGCCCAGTGGAGACGGTCAGCTTGCTTCCACGACAAGCTGAGGGACGAGGTCTAACTCGTTAGGCGCCCCGGGATCTCATCGATAGTAAGCGCACACGCACAGCTCGCGAGGGCTTGGTCAAGCCGTCTTAGTGAGCTAGGCACAAGTTCGGCTTCCTGTTGAGACCTCTTGGCTCGCCAATGCAGGTCATCCGAAGGCGGTCCGTACAACGAACCAATTCCGTGCACCATGTAAACAATCAACGGGTGATCGAGATCCCCCCCCCCCAAACTCCGAGCCCAACTTGCGACCGAACAAAGACGACGGATTTACCGACTGTATACGTACAAGTTCGAGGTTCTCGTTTGCTGCACGCATATGTGGGTTATACGTCTGAGCGACTCCCGCGTCGCAGGTTATGGGTACTAGCTACTCCATACCGACCTGACGAAGAGGGGCGCGACGATGCCCGGTTTAGCTGGTC